GCGTTGACCAGAGAACAATGGCTGCCACTTCATGCTGCTATGCTGCTGCACCACACCATCATGCTGACCTCTCCTCATATCCCACTCAGGAGGGCCACGTCCCTAGAGCTGCCGATGGCCATGCGCTACCGCCACCTGAAGGACACCGCCAGGGAGGCCGTGGGCGTCTTCAGGTCGTCCATCCACGGCCGCGGCCTCTTCTGCAGGAGGGACATCGACGCGGGGGAGATGGTCGTCGAGTACGCGGGACAGGTGCGGGGGATACGCGGGACAGGTGCGGGGGACACGCGGGACAGGTGCGGGGGACACGCGGGACAGGTGCGGGGGACACGCGGGACAGGTGCGGGGGACACGCGGGACAGGTGCGGGGGACACGCGGGACAGGTGCGGGGGACACGCGGGACAGGTGCGGGGGACACGCGGGACAGGTGCGGGGGACACGCGGGACAGGTGCGGGGGACACGCGGGACAGGTGCGGGGGACACGCGGGACAGGTGCGGGGGACACGCGGGACAGGTGCGGGGGACACGCGGGACAGGTGCGGGGGACACGCGGGACAGGTGCGGGGGACACGCGGGACAGGTGCGGGGGACACGCGGGACAGGTGCGGGGGACACGCGGGACAGGTGCGGGGGACACGCGGGACAGGTGCGGGGGACACGCGGGACAGGTGCGGGGGACACGCGGGACAGGTGCGGGGGACACGCGGGACAGGTGCGGGGGACACGCGGGACAGGTGCGGGGGACACGCGGGACAGGTGCGGGGGACACGCGGGACAGGTGCGGGGGACACGCGGGACAGGTGCGGGGGACACGCGGGACAGGTGCGGGGGACACGCGGGACAGGTGCGGGGGACACGCGGGACAGGTGCGGGGGACACGCGGGACAGGTGCGGGGGACACGCGGGACAGGTGCGGGGGACACGCGGGACAGGTGCGGGGGACACGCGGGACAGGTGCGGGGGACACGCGGGACAGGTGCGGGGGACACGCGGGACAGGTGCGGGGGACACGCGGGACAGGTGCGGGGGACACGCGGGACAGGTGCGGGGGACACGCGGGACAGGTGCGGGGGACACGCGGGACAGGTGCGGGGGACACGCGGGACAGGTGCGGGGGACACGCGGGACAGGTGCGGGGGACACGCGGGACAGGTGCGGGGGACACGCGGGACAGGTGCGGGGGACACGCGGGACAGGTGCGGGGGACACGCGGGACAGGTGCGGGGGACACGCGGGACAGGTGCGGGGGACACGCGGGACAGGTGCGGGGGACACGCGGGACAGGTGCGGGGGACACGCGGGACAGGTGCGGGGGACACGCGGGACAGGTGCGGGGGACACGCGGGACAGGTGCGGGGGACACGCGGGACAGGTGCGGGGGACACGCGGGACAGGTGCGGGGGACACGCGGGACAGGTGCGGGGGACACGCGGGACAGGTGCGGGGGACACGCGGGANTGAAGTCAAGCGCTTATTTCTTGGCCGTAGATGTGTATAAGAGACAGGTGTAGGAGGTCTCTGCGATGTGAAGGAGGTCTCTGTGATATGCAGGAGGTCTCTGCGATGTACAGGAGTTCTCTGTGTGTGATGTGCAGGAGGTCTCTGTGATGTGCAGGAGGTCTTTGTGATGTGCAGGAGGTCTCTGTGATGTGCAGGAGGTCTCTGTGATGTGCAGGAGGTCTCTGATGTTCAAGAGGTCTCTGTGATGTGCATGGGGTCTCTGTGACGTGCAGGAGGTCTCTGTGATGTGCATGAGGTCTCTGCGATGTGCAGGAGGTCTCTGCGATGTGCAGGAGGTCTCTGCGTCTCTGTGATGTGCATGAGGTCTCTGTGATGTGCAGGAGGTCTCTGTGATGTGCATGAGGTCTCTGTGATGTGCAGGAGGTCTCTGTGATGTGCAGGAGGTCTCTGTGATGTGCATGGGGTCTCTGTGATGTGCAGGAGGTCTCTGTGATGTGCATGAGGTCTCTGTGATGTGCAGGAGGTCTCTGATGTTCAAGAGGTCTCTGTGATGTGCTTGGGGTCTCTGTGATGTGCAGGAGGTCTCTGTGATGTGCATGGGGTCTCTGTGATGTGCAGGAGGTCTCTGTGATGTGCATGGGGTCTCTGTGATGTGCAGGAGGTCTCTGTGATGTGCAGTCTCTGTGATGTGCAGTCTCTGTGATGTGCAGGAGGTCTCTGTGATGTGCAGGAGGT